GGGGGGGGGGGGGGGCACAATTTGTGGGCAGCAGTGTCGGCGGCGGGGTGGTGAGCCATGACCGCCTGCAGAAGCCGGCGGTGGTGATCGGTGACTGCCCACAGAAGTTTCCAATTGTGGGGGGGAGGCACGTGCCCCCATTGGCCGCCCAAAGAGTTGCCTGTGACTGCACCGGTTTTGCAGAAAGGAAAACTGGGATACAGGCAGGTGACATGACTTTCCCCAAGCTCACAAAGCCAAGCCTCCTCTTACAAAGGCTTGCTGTCAAACTATTATGAACAATCTCGCTGAAGTCAGTCCGACAGTTCACGGCAATAAACACAACACCTGGGAATCCGTGCTCACAAGCTCAGGCTCTGAATCGTTTTGGAGAACAATACAAGTGCCCTGACCCCAGTCACTTGTGCTGGCTGCTAACCACCACGCGGACCATGAAGTCAAAGAAACAGGAACCTACCAAAGTCATCACAGCTGGCTGCTACTTAACAGCAATACAGAAGAGACACGTTATTGATCTTCTCAGACCACGTTAAAACCAAGCCACATTCCCAGTCTGCACAAAGGTCAAGATGACACAAGGAACGTACTGAAAATTTTAAAAACCCCCAAAACCAGTACATGCCCCTTATACGGGAGACAGAGCAGTGAATCCGTAGCAAGATGCCTGCCTGGTCAAGTCGCACAGGTCTGCAAGCTGACAACAATAAGGCATTGCAGTACCAGGTCGCTGGTCTCTGCATGGCAGCTTCGTTTCACTAGCATGAAAGTAAGAAATAAGACAAACAAGGAGACTATGCTAGCAGCCTGAGCCCACCGGAGAGCCACAGAAAGAAGCCCAGGACTGGAATTTCAGCGCCATCAAACCCGTTCCCATCTCGTTTTGTTAGTATTCGGATCAATGGAGTGCTGCCACCTGAGCAGCCAGAAATGCTGTATTGTCTACTCTCCCCCTAGCATATGCAGAGCTGGGATGCAGACACTAGAGGCCATTACTGAGTAAAGAATGTCCTGCCAAGTGACAGATCATGGTAACCATGGTGAGTTTACCTGTTTCTTTGCAGTCTGCATCAAAAATGTAATAAGACATAATGCCATGCGCCAGCCACTTTATCAGCAACAGCAGCAGCAGCCGGCACGGAGAACAAAGAGAGGGATTGGACTTGGCTGTGATGCCAGCGCTGTGTGCACGGCGAACGCCCATGTCAGACGCTGTGCCAGTCAAACCCAGCTGGAGGGTGGGACTCCTCACAAGGAACAGAAATGAGAGTTGGTTTGTCTGGGAGGAGGTTGCAATCCTGATAACGAGCTCGGCTGAGGGGTGCTTCATGCACAACAGAGTAACGGACCTTAGCTTTTCCTCAGCCTCCCTCAAAGGTCGATGAATGACGCTGCTCGGTTAACCCCACCTACACCTGCATGTCTCAGATCACCTAGCCCGGCCGCTGCCATTCTAACTGGCAGGAAAAATCAAGCCAGCAAGCCCCATGCTTTCAGGCCCAGACATGGATGGGTAGGTCTACTGGAAACAGGATGTGCTCTCCAATTAGCTACGCTGCGTTCATGTAGCCTGCAAGATGAGCTTGATTCACTTCATGCTCACTTGTACTGGCTGCTAACCACCACGTGGGCCAGGAAGTCCAAGAAATAGGAATCCAAGCAAAATAAAAATGCACCTCTTTTTGCTGTTTTCACTGCAAAATATCCCCAAAGTTTGGGCTTTGCAGACAGGAACGATACACCTGCCAGGAGGGCTGACTCTCATACCGGTTCTGGCCACCTCAACCCATTGAAGGTGTTGATGCCATCTCCAGAGCCCCTTGTGGCTTCAATCTTGGCCGCTGCAGACATCTTCCTCGGCTAGTACTGGGGAAGAAGCCAGTTGGAATGGCTCTCACCATAGCCTGAAATACGCTCTTGGCAGGGGAAGGAGGACACAACTCAAATCCACTCCTCACCTTAGCCCAACTGAGCTCAAGGTGATGGGCCTTCCCCAACTGGGATGGTGCCTTGGAGGTCACGTCATCCTATTGATCCCACCCAGTAGAGGACTGGCTATTGTTTTAACACAAATACATCAGCTCGGTGCTGCACCTCTACACCTAGATAGATCGACACACAGGCCTAACATACCAGAAACCATGTAATAGCTGATTGTTCTTTAAGACCCAGCTGTTAAGAGTAAAGCAATTCTGTGGAAATCTCAGCTTTTTAAGAGGCCGTTTCTAGCTGTCCAGTTTGCAGAGAACTGCTTGAACATGCATCTCAAATGCACCTGAGAAGTTCAGCAATGCAGGACTGGAAAGGGACCTCGTGGGTCGCAGGGGCGAGCACCTGCGATCGCAGTCACGTTACAGAATCCCATCCAACAACTGTTCAAGCTCCA